TCATGGATGGATATTAAAATACATTTCATGTCAGATTATAATCTAATACCACTAGCTCATTTACATCTTTTATCTAGTTATCTTGTATTATCTATCAACAGTGAAGTTGAACTGAAGACTTGTGAACACTCATAATATTTTCTGGTTGAATACAGTTTATTAGCAACAACAAACACGCCCAAAGCTTTACATTTCGTATATACCATATTTATTCGCCTATAATACACACTCGTGTATAATACACACCCCTAATTATGGGCTATTAAATCCTGAAAAAAATATCTCTCGTGTATAATACGACTTTTCTTCAGTCTTATTTCAGGCTGTCATGATCTGTCATCGGAAATAGCATAACAAATCCGAATTGTATTACGCAAGTTAATCCTGTTGTTACACTATCTGGTAATAAAAATGTGTTCTCTGTATAACTGACCTTATGTTTGTCATCTATTTTATTAATTTTTTTAAAAATTTCATTCAATAATGTTTACCTAAATTTCGGCAAAAAAACATGTGTCCCTCCGATACTTACAACTTCTGTTTACCCCGTTCCATAGAGTCTGCTTAACCACATACTGTAACCGTGCCAAATCACATTATTCACCGCAACAATGATAATATTTTCTTCTGTTTCATTTTTTACGAGTCTACACATCTAGATAAACATATGTCATGGTTAACTTTTAGTGAGAAAATATGTCGAAACATGAAAAACCTTATCCATTTGCGGAATATTCCTTTGTTTACATCACGTGCTGTCATCGAAGCCACATGGAGTGTGAGAGTTACGTTCACTTTGATGCATAAATATATTTTGAAACAACGATTAATTTAAAACTAGACGTAAATTTTAAGATGTTTGCATATATTGTCTTCAGAAAATGTTTATAAATTAAGTTCAGGTGAGTAGTTGTAATATTTTCATTCCAAAGCTGGTAACAACAACACAGATATTTTGAAATTGCGTCAGTCATGACGCAGTCATTAATTTCTGGACGTATTTTTCCTTAATTGAGAGTCATATACGCAAGAATACTGCATCAGGGGAAACCCTGGTTAGGGTTTGAAAAATTCATAAAAAAATGGAAAATTAATAAAAACAATTTTTTTCTTTTGACTGCACCCCTCCATATGACACAGATTATATGTACTAAGTTTGAGATGAATCCACTGAATGGTTTAAGAGAAATTGCGCGGACAAAATTTTCGAACGGACGTTAGGGTTTGAAAAATTCATAAAAAAATGGAAAATTAATAAAAACATTTTTTTTCTTTTGACTGCACCCCTGCATATGACACAGATTATATGTACTAAGTTTGAGATGAATCCAGTATAAAGTTTAAGAGAAATCGCGCGGACAAAGTTTTCGGACGGACGGACGGACGGAATCTTGGTATAACTATATACCCCCGACATTTTGTCGGGGGTATAAAAATGGTATCCGTTGGGGTCATATAGGGATAAAGATGGAAATATGAAAGGTCAGGTAACTAGTACTTTCAGTGTTTACAAACAAACATGGCGTCGACCTTGTCAACCAGTGACTGAGTTAAATTAACCATCTTGGATCTGGAGACTTCTATGATAATTATTTTGACTATCAAAACGATAGTCTAAGATACCGAAAATCAGTTTTACAAGGTTTGGCAACTTTGGAGAACAATTTTGCAAAACAATTTAGCGAGGACACTAGCCTAGCAGGATCAGTTTCAGTGCTTGTTGACCTCTGAGGGTTTGAGGCCTTTTCCCAAAAACAGTTGGATTTGTCCGAAATATGTCCGAAATATTACCTTGTTTCATTTTGCCATTGTGTGATTGCAAAGGTTTAACCATATTCAACTGTTTTCATTGAAAAAAAGACTTTTTAACATTGTTTTGTTAATAATATTCTAAAATGATTTAGTTCATAATTAACATTTTGGAAGTATCAGGAAAGCCATGAAAACATTTCTACATTTCATTTCTGTTTTCCTCCTGACTCATGACATACTGACCAATACAGCTGCACATTGTGTAAATGCTAGTAGCGGGACGATACACCGATGCATCAGTGGATCATGATTTTTTACTTCTCGATACAAGTATCGATCACAATCTCACACAAAGTGAAAAGATGGTTTACACACCACAGATGAGAGCACATGCAAGTATCGTGATACATACCGGATGTTGAGCAAGGAATCATGACACGTATCAGGTCGCTAAGTTGGTGTATCGTCCCAGCCTTAGTATATATTTTGTGTGGCATTCACTGTTTGCTCATCGATCAAACAAATATTCAATCTGTCCAGAAGATCCTTTTGGCAAGTCAAGTCATTTTCTCTTCGATTAGGACAGTCATTTTCACTTTGATTAGGACAGTCATTTTCAAAATGAGCTCAACTGGCTAGTAAGTAGGTAGTTTTACACTGTATTTTGTAGGCAAATACTGATATCATGCACACTACTTCCGATAGTTTCAAAATGAAAACCTGTCTTAGTTGTAGAAAAGGAAACAAGCTTACTGACACACTGCAGTGAGAGAATTGCCACATCAACATGACCAAGGTGGGATAATAGCTACTCATTAAACAATGTTCATGTAAGAAATAAAGTTTGCACTACCCCCATGTGTAGTGAAACAAAGTATAGTTTTGCCATGAACTATGACAGTTAAAGCAGTGCTTTAACTTTATAATAGTTCACTGCAAAACTGTACTTTATTACACAAGTTAACACAACACATGGGGGTAAAGCAAACTTTATTCCTTTTCTAAGATGCCGAATTTCAGACTAACATTGTGTTTTATTGGAGCTGGGTTTGAAATCAAACCTCAATTATGTTTGACGCTAATTTAAAATCCTCGGACAGGGCTTACTGACAGGCTCTTCCACCTAACTACCTGCACCCCTACGTTAGAGACATATTTCAGTATTAAACTTAATACATCACTAAAATGGGTCGTTTATTATTTAGATAGGTCACAACAATCCAAAGCAGCAATAATTGGATTTTTATGTTAATTTTATTCAATTTAATCACGTAAGTCAAACCATTTTACAAGTGCATGGTGGGGCCATTTAGAGAAGTTCAGTGTCGCTGGTTATTGTGAGTTCCATAAGTTCTATGGTTATAAGTGGTTTCTGTCAGATGAGTTGCAACTTTGTTTCCACCACTTGTGACTGCCGGAACTGCATGTTATGAAATAGTGTCCTTACTATGTTTGTTATCGTGAGTTGTGGTGTTTTCTGTCATACGAGTTGAAACTTTGTTTCCACCACTTGTGACTGCCGGAACTGCATGTTATGAAATAGTGTCCTTACTATGTTTGTTATCGTGAGTTTTGGTGTTTTCTGTCATACGAGTTGAAACTTTGTTTCCACCACTTGTGACTGCCGGAACTGCATGTCATAAAATAGTGTCCTTACTATGTTGGGCGTGATATGGCGTCGGCATGGGACAAACATGGTGGAGGAAGAGCAGCAGCAGTCACCATGGTCACTTTGTTTGACTGCAGTATATTGCTAACTGAGCAACAGGTGTACATGTAGTTATGAAACTTTTTAAGGATTGCTCATTCCTTTGTCCTGAGAGACACACATCATTCCTTGGGCACCAATGGCCGCCTTAGAAAATTTTGTGACTGCTGTGGAACGGACACAGTGGTTTGAATATTTTGGGATAAGCCTGCAGCATGAGAGATGGTTGACATCATCTTGCCATATTTCTTCTCATGTTATAATATTCAAATATTCAACAAGTTAAAAGAAACCATTTCACAGATTATGCTTGACAGTAATGAGTGAGTGAGTGAGTGAGTGAGTTGGGTTTAACGCCGCTTTTAACAGTATTCCAGTTATATCGCGGGATGCAGGTCTTAGACGTTTACCACTTCGGTGAAACCCACGAGCACGGGTAAGGTGCTGACAAACCTCGAAACATGATTTGGGCGAACCGGGATTCGAACCCACAATCATAGGTTTCTGGCGTGCCCAAGGGACGCAACTCTGCACAGCGAATCACGGCGCCTTAGACGACTGGGCCACCCGTGCCCCCTCTTGACAGTAATGTTACCAAGGATACATAAGATCACAGGAAGGTAATTTTAACAGTGCCATGACGTCAGTCCACTAGGACACAACTCAAAAGGTGTACCTTATTGCAGGATGAAGTACACTCAGCCCCTTTCATCCTTTAGCGAAACATCTAGGACTTACTGCTTTCATTAAACGACTAGAAACTATATCAGGAATGTAATGCTTCATGTGGTTAATGATAATTAATTTTATGGAATGATGAGCATGAAAACAGTGTAATTGCACTGAGGTCACCTGGGTATGTAATCAACAGATTAAAATGTCAACAAAGAGAGCAACAAATAAGATGTTGCTGCCACAATGGTATTCTAGACCAAAAACTGAGAACTAAAAACTTGCAGAGTCAAATATATATTTCAGATAATTTCAGAGCATGATAAAAACACAAAGGTCAAAACAAGGTTCAAATATTGCAAAAATATCGGAACGTGTTGAGTCCTACTACCAACTAGACTTATACCACATTTCATTACAGTTTGAACAAAATTCCAAAAAAAAGTTTTTTAATATGGCTGCCATAGCGACCATATGGAAAATCGCATTTGAACCTCTTGAATAAATTGTGAGTCATCATTGGTGGGAACAAGCTAGTTAAGTTTCAGCTTCATGTGACTTGTGGTTTCTGAGGTTATGTTAACAAGACATGATAATCAACAGACAACGGACCACAGCATAAAGACACTTGACTTTCTGTCTGGTGAGTTAAAAATAAGATTAAAATCATCTTTTTCTCCCATTTGCATCAGGCAGTTGTCTGAAATGAAATATTACTGTACCCAGGCATAAGGCAGTTGTCTGACCAATAAATATGACTGTGCCCAGGCATCAGGCAGTTGTCTGACCAATAAATATAACTGTATATAGGCACTAGGCAATGGTAAGTGCAATGCCCGATCTGAACCCTACCACACAAATACCTCACCTTGTCTTCACTGTTCTTTAACTCCTGCTCAATGTCCTGCTTCTGCCTCTGTTTGAGGATCTCGGAGGGGATGGAGGAGTCATGGTTCCCCATATCCTCCACATCACTGGCCTGGCTACTGGACAAGCCATCATCCACCATGGGCATGCCTAGCGTCGACCGGTCACCATCGGACATCACACTCTCTACCTCCACACTATCACACTCAGTATTCTCAGGTGACAATGTAAAGCTCTTGCGGTCATCCACCATATTACCATCAGTCCCGTTCAATGGAATCTCGGTGAGAGAGTCCTCATTCACTCGCTCAGTTGGTGCAGGTACTCCTAAATCCTGCAAGATCTTTTGTTGAAGAATCTTCTCTGGAGATGTTTCTCTGGAGCTGTCCAAGGACCCACTGTCCTGACTGTTCATACTGTTCCGTTTTAAATTCAAAGAATCACTGGAACTTGAATAAGCTAGCCTCATGCCTACATATGAATTACCCTTCTGTACACGAGCATACTTAACATAGTCGTACTCATTCTCAATGTTCAGATTTTTTCTAGGCGCTATAATTTGAATGCCATCCTTGCCGTTTTCTATAACCCCAACTGTTGGCTCCCCTGACAGTTCTAATCCTAATGCACGAGGTAAATTTGGCTCTAAATGATTTTCTATCCTCTCCATTTCCCGCTCAGAGCTTGAACCTTCTCTATCACTCCCAGAACCCATGGGACGATCACAAACTCTTCGAGCAAGACCAGGGGACTGTTTTCGGATTTTTGGCTTGGCCCCCTGAGCGTTATATGTTATGTCATCAATATCCTTATCATAAGTCTTTATCTGCCCAATTGTGGGAATATTATTCCGGATTTCTAGACTGTTTCTCTTTTTCACTGCATCCATTACATCATTGAGTTCTCTCACATTTTCAGAAGATGAAGCCTTCCTTCGGAGTATCACATTAGTCTTGCTATCATAAGATCCATTCTCAGACACATCCGCATCATCTTCTTCACCAGTGATCGTAATGGGAACATTGTCATAATGTTTGTCTGAACACACACTCAAATTCTCTCCTCCGTTCTCCTCAGGTGAGAAATCAGATTGTTTCGTAGCCTTATTAGAACTCTGGTTTGTGGATTCAGACTTCCGTGCTACAGCATAATGCTCCGAGAGAGGAAGATCGGAAGACTCAAACCGTTCTATATCTTCAGGTGGGAAGTCGGCAATACCGTCAGGGTCGTCCGGTTGATAGGAGTCATTGCTGTCCTCACTATCCCGGCGGGATAAGGACGTGCTACCTGCATCGGCATCCTCGAGGAGATTCTGGTATGATATGGAACTGATCTCGCTGGGATGCCTGGAGCCCTCCTCTCCCATCTGTACCTCCATACTGATGTTGTCAGCTCCATCATCAATCATGGACTCAGAGAATTCGGACATACTGACCATGAGTTGATGTTTTGGGGATCCACCACCTCGGGCACCATCTACAGTGTCACCTCCGTCCATATCGCAGTGTATGATGTCTTTTACTTCCACATATCCTTCATGGGTTGTCATAACAACTGCAGATGTAGGAAATGGGGAGACAACTTTGATGCAGTCACTCTTGTTTGGCCAATCATCTTGAAAAAAAATCAAATGGTGATTAAACAGTTACTTCATGCAAAACATTTTGAACATAATAATATATTTTCTTACTTGCCTGTACACAAATCAATTAACTACATTTTCTGCATACAATCAATGTGAAGACAATTCAAATCAGATTCAGCTTTCCCTTCATTACTTATAAACTGAGGAGGGAATTCATTACCTATTCGGATTTCAAGTAAATTGACAATAATCATAACAGTATTGAAATACATACAGGTAAAAATATTTGAAAAAATCTTATGTACCACACAATAATATACACTGACTTACTTCCAGATAACTTGAACCTGACACTATGCCACTGGCCCCAGACAAAATACCTGACATGAACCACAGACTTATAAGGATAATCTTCCTGATAGCATTGCTTCTCATAAGAAGCGACTAACAGGTCAAGTGGTCAGACTTGCTGTCTTGGTTGATGCATGTCACTGTATCCCATTTGAATAGATCAATGCTCATGATGTCAATCACTGGATTGTCTGGTCCAGAATTGATTGTTAAGAGACTGCCATCATTATATTGTTGAATATTGTTGAGTGTGACACTAAATGACACACAAAACTAAAATAATCGTGGGGTGCTATGATCTCAATTTCCATGCTATGTAATGTTCAATCCAACAGGACATCAATCCACAATGTCATCGTACGAAGATAAATACGCAAAAGATTTTCACGTTTTAGGATACTTTCTCAATAAAACATTTCATGTCATATGTTTATCTAAATGTGTAGACTCATCAAAAAAATGCAACAGATGAAAAACATATGCAATGAATTGAATAGATTTTTTGAGAGGTGACAGAGGTACTAGGCTGGCCACAAGAAACACTGGGTAGAAGAGTGATTGGCTTCATATGAGCAAGGCATTTACATTGTAAGCTAGGCTTTGTTAAGCACTGGCTTCTAATCCAACCAAGCCGGCAATTTGTATTTTGTACCTCATTTGAAAAAAACACACACAAGCTTTCTCCTCAATTTGCCTTTTATCAAAACATGAACTAAGCCAGTTATTCTGCGCAGCACTTGGGTTGACGGCTTTGCTATTAGTAGTGGGACGATACACCGATGCATCGGTGGAACACGATGTTATACTTCTCGAAACGAGTATCGATCACAATCTCACACTAACTAAAAAGTATCGATTCTTACCTTAAATGCATTTTTTTAATAAATGTTACACCGAACACTAATTACTTGTGAAAATGAGTAGTGAAAACGTAAATATCTTCATCCATTGCGCCATACTTGAAACTGCCAACAGTAAATCATTAGTGTGCCAGGTATATGGCCATTCTGTCTATGAAAAAGATGGCTTACACACCACAGATAATAGCACATGCAAGTATAGTGATACGTATCAGATAGTGAGCAAGGTATTGTGATAGGTATCAAATCGCAGAGTTGGTGTATTGCCCCAGCCCTATTTGCTATGTGGAGCTATATTGTTTTGTTTTGAGAATTGAATTGTGCTTGAATTAATGGTGTGACCTCGCAAAATTATTTTATGCATGATTTCAATACACCCAGAACTGTCGGCATACTGGCACTCAAAGGCACACATTGATATGTTGTGATAAATAATTGGCACTGTTACATAAACTATCTCTGTGTTGTGCAGAGTATGTTAGAAAATGTTAAGTGCATAATTATATCACCTTTCTATAGTATTAACCAGTCCTAGATTAGTCATTCACTAAATCAACAAATTATTCAAACAATGTCATTAGAAATGCATTACTGTACTGGGTGATCATATTCTATAATCTGCATCCCAGTTCATCAAACAGGCTGTTACACTGCTATAAGAATACATACAACTGTTGCAATACAAAATATCTAGCGTGTAGCAATCTAAGACACACCATTGATTTAATTCCTAACAATTAAAACGTGTTCCAATGCAGATTGGAATACAACATACGACAATATACCATGATTTCAAGACAATTTTACATCGCCGTGAATTCGGTTTCGATAATTATTTCAGAATGCTCCCACAATACACGCATTATTAAAAATATGATACAAACCATGAAGACACACGGCGTTTCTCAAGCACTAGGTGTTGGAAACAAAACCCTATGAATCACAATGTTAGGCCTGTCTTCAGGGATGGAATGGTCCTCGAAGCACCTGCTTTTACAAACATCGTGAGTTTCGACATTTAGCAGAAGATATTTCTATGTCACCTTAATGGTAGAATAAATTTTCGAAAAACATTAAATAATCTTTGAAATTCTTCCCCATTTTACCTGCATCTGATTACGGATGCACGATTCGCATCACCATCATAAATGTCAGACATGATAATAACGAAGCAGCAAAGCTAACATATTTTTAGTAAGTTTCGTATTTTTATCGCAGGACATATTGCGTTATATAACCTGAATTATTTGTTTATTTATAATTGAATCGCGTTCAATGAAACCTAATATGATATCCTTTGTCTATCATAAGCAATATTTAGTATTTGCCACTTGTGTGACTGGTTGTATCATATCAGTACGGGAGCACGCTAAACACTTAGGACGCTGATTGGCAGCAAGACTTATCCCAGTCACAAGTGCCTACGTTGACCGGGTGACGTTGCTAATTCTAGACTTGATAATAGTCTCCATAGGCTATATATGGCTCGCCTGCGAGCGACTTGAGTGTTTCTGGAAATGCGAAACGCATATCCTAATCATTGCTCCTTTAGAACGATATCATTATAGGGGTGAATTCAACATCAAGTGGTACATTCAATATCAGTGGTTCGTGCAGGAATTCACCCAAATAAGATCTACAAGGCAAATATTTGTACAAGTATCACTTGTCCCCAACTTCTGGCTACGGCACTGATCTATATGGTTTTGAAAAAGGCTTGAGTCTTCATAAGTAAGTTACTGACACAAAAAGCAAACTCCCAGGTGGCTTGGGCACCGCCCTAAATTATTGTTAAGATTGATATTCCAAATAGTTATGCAAAGTTTCATGCTTTGATCCAGTCTGCAACGATTTTTCACCTTCGCGATCTAACTCAGGGGGAACTTATCGGTACAAAAGTTAAATACGACCAGACACTACTTCAAACACATTTGTGCTCATATATGGTTGTCGAAATTAAATTAATTAATGAATTAAGTATCATGTCAGTTTGTCAGTTTTATCCCAGCGCGTTACATATCTCATACACCCGTGAAGATCCGGGGTAGAATAGGTCTTCAGCAACTCATGATTGCCGTGGAAGGCGACTATGCTCGTCGTAAGACTTGGTTGATGCCCGCCACCGTGTCCCAATTGAGTGGATTGATGCTCATGGTGTCAATCACAGGATTGTCTGGTCCTGACTCGATTATTTACAGACCGCCGTCATATAGCTGGAATATTGCTGAGTGCAGCGTTAAACAACAAACAACATATTTAGAGAATAACAAACACCCGAACCTTGACCATCCATTTGATGATACTTTATTGACAATGTCTTAAGTTAGCGATATTATAATTCAAAAAATGAACAGTACTTGCTCTCAGTCAGCACTCAAATGATACTTCTACAAGTTTTTATTTTTACAAATATTTATTTAAATAAAACAAATCGCATGAAGATAAGTATCTACACCGTTCACATGCACCTTTATACGTGTGTGTGTGTGTGTGTGTGTGTGTGTTTGTGTGTGTGTGTGTGTGTGTGTGGTTTGCATACATGTGTAAATGTGCTCACGTGAGTATACTTGTCATGTGAACGCGTTTACTCATGTGTGTATATTTAACCAGGAAAAATGTGCCCTGGAGCAGGTGCAAATGTAAATTTGCACTGTATATAAAGTAGGTGTGGTCATGTGAACGTTCATGCCAACCCCAGATGATGATCTAATCATTATATCTGACATTGTCTGTTGATTTGCAGACACCAAACAAATTGGCAACAGTTCTGTATTCTGAAGTTGCCGCTATTCAGTGTACAGCAATACCAACTTTCATGCGGACATTGGGTCTTTAGGTTTCAGGGTGTCAAAATGTTGTGTGCAGATTAAATCACACACATGTTGGTTCATGCGAAGATTTTTACAAAATAACTCTCTTCCCATTCGACTTTGATTGAAAAGCATCCTTTTCATGCTGAACGTTGTGAAAACAGTCAACAGACTGATGAATATGTGCTCCTTCCACCATTTACATACTTTATTTACACACCTTTGTTAATTTTTATGTGCATACTGTGTTGTATAGCTACACATGTGCAAAATTACTTGCGTGAGTAAATGATGCTTATGTGAACGGGGTATCAGACTTCTTATCTTTGGAAATCACTAAATTTGCGTTTTCGTCACAAATTACAACATTTCAAACACGGTGTGGGGCACGTGGTTGCAGATTTATTTCTTACCACCCAAGTCTGCCGTCCCAATTTATTTTTACACAAAATCACCCAGCTACAGATTACATTTTTACAAACTGTTGCAGGAATGAGTCATGGTTTAGTAGACGTAATCAAATTTAACAACAGTTATTTCAATTTTCTTGGACATAAAAAAGCCTCTGCATACTTTATTTTGCCCGCAGTTTATTATAATGAATTCATTTCGCACTAGAACTAGGAATTTGATTCCAACATACCCAGTCGTCTAAAATAATTGACTTTCAAAGAAACAATCACTTCTCTTGCATTTGTACGTATTCTTTACTTCTTCCTGAAGTCCGATTCCACCAAAACCTGTTCCTTTATTCATGTTATAAGCGCCATTTCATCGACTGCATCGATATTGTGTTGTTTATCATGGATACTCAAGAACACCATTGCCACTTCTGAATGATTAACTGCAGTGTTGTCGAGGCACAAGTTTGACGGAATTATCTCCCTTATGTTTATGCCTTATTGCGATTTCGCCACAAAAGAGAACACCAAAGACTATGGTCCGTTATTCGCCATAACCAGGCACACGTGAGAACAAATTTTGCGAAATATAAAACATAAAAAATATTTCAGAAACAAATTCTGAAAAAAAAATTAAAAATTTAATAATAAAAGACGAAAAACGTTTTTGCGAAAGGCGACTATGCTTGTATGAAGCGACTAACGGGATCGGGCAGTCAGCCTCGCTGACTTGGTTTGATGCACGTCATCGTATCCCAATTGCGTATATAGATCGATGTTCGTGATGTCAATCACTGGATTGTCTGGTCCAGACTCGATTATATACAGACCCCCGTCATATATATTGCTGAGTGCGGCGTTAAACAAAAAAACAAACAAAAAAACAAAGCTTTGTGAGAAACATGAAAAAGCAGAATGTGAATTTAGAATGTGTTTACATTTAAAAATATTAATGGTTTTATTTGCAAAAGTGAAATATCTGGTTGTTTCCATTCCCCACTAGAGCACACTATTTACCCCACAATGCATTAATACGGCATGTCGTGACCAGTACTTTGTTGTAAACTATTTGGTGGCGTTCTCCTTTGCATGTCTGTCCCTCTGAGAAGGACATGTTGTTTAACGCTGCATTCAGCAATATTCCAGCTATATGACGACGGCCTGTAAATAATCAAGTCTGGACCAGACAATCCAGTGATTGGCATCATGATCATTCTCAGAGCAGAGTTTTAGGTATTTGTAGTACGTAGAAAAGCATTGTAATTTTATCGTTGGTAGGCTTTGTGCAAGTGTTTACTATAATAATAAAATATAACATAAGAATCAGCCAGCCCTTGCTGCCAGCGGACGTTCCAGGCTGTTTTCCCAGTGGTTGGTTGCAGCAATGATATAATGTTGTATAAAATTTAATTGTCTTGTGTGGAGTCTTAGAGGTCGTGACCAGATTAAGCGCAATAAACATCCCACCAAGAATTTCAGATATAGAGTTGGACGAATGAGTATGAGAAAGAAAGCAGAGAATTTTAAGATGTGAAGGAAGTAAGACAAGTTTCTTGTACCCCGTTCACGTGCACAACATTTACTAACGTAAGTAATTTTGCACATGGGTAACTATACATACGTGTGTATACGTAAATTTACTATGCGTTCACATGAAAATCAACTTAGGTGGGTAAATAAAGTATGTAAATTGTGTAAGGCACACATATTCGTCAGTCTGTTTACGACTTTCAACACAAAACAGGTTGTTTTCCAAAGTTGAATGAGAAGAGAGTTACTTCCCCGAAACTGTTCTCGTGAAGCAACATGTGTTTGATTCAATTTGCATACAAAGTTCTGACTCATTGAATCCAAAAGAAAACACCGTCCGCTCAATTCTGTATATACACATAAAAACTGGCAACTGTTGACAATTTGTTTGGTGTTAGTTAAAGAACAGATATTTATTTGATCACCCTCTTACGTTAACATAAACGTTCACATTGCAACATATACACACAGTGCATATTTACATTCACATTTGCACCTGCTCCAGACATGATGCAAATTTGCTCTGCTGTAAATATACACACATGAGTTAAATGGTGTTGAGATACATAGTTAAATATTAGACATCATTAACACAGAGGGAATTGAATCGATCTGTTTTGTAACATAGCGCATTTTATCAACAGTAGTTCCTGTATTGGGTGGTTACAAAATGTGACTTGGCTGCGACCTGTCATACATTCAGTAAACAAACAGTGAACATACGAGCTGTGGTTATACGGCCTATCCCACTCATGAATGTAATTGTGGTTAGCGTTAATCCTCTACTGTCAATCCTCCACCTACTATATATATTCTGTACAATGTCCCTCATTCAGTCTTGCTTGACAACGGTATAAGGATCTATAACGAAACGTCGCTTTTTACAGTATTAAAGAAGTTGTTATCCATGAAATTGTGTCTACCTTGCGATTCGACTAGATACACAAAAGTACAATACTTTACGTTATTATTTGATCAGTTTGTAATCAATCCCCCTAACACTGAAATGCGTTAGTTATATTGATTTTATTTCTGCACAGAGCTAAACGGTTCTGCAATATCTTCACGCATCAAATAGTATATGCATGGAACCTCTGAAGTTGCTTTAATGTGAACTGGCTGATTTACTGGGGGGCGATTATATTACTGATTAATTAAGAAATTCGCACATTTAACTTGGTTTTTTTCTCTCTCTCACTAAATTGCTCTGTATGTTGTTTTTTATCAAATGCATTATACACGTATTTGCATGACAGTAGTACACACTGATATATAATTTTAGCATTTCAAACATGTAGGAATTCAGG